TTGGCATTTGCCTGAGATACATATAGCATCAATTCTCCTACAATTCTGGAAGGCCCCTAAGATTTGGCTTTGCTCCCAAGCCTAGGGGCAATGTATCTGTTGAGTCTCTTTAAAGTTTTTATTGTGTGATTGTTTTCAGTCTGTTGCCATGTCTTGCCTTGTCTTTCACCATTTTAAAACTGAATATTTGGATACCATAAGCTGCCCAGAGTCTTGTAGAATGGGCAGCCATAATAATTTTGGTTATAATAATATTAATATGTTTTCTTCATTCTGCTTTCCCTCCAGCCGGAGTTCTTAAAGAAGCTTACAGTGGTTCAGGCAGGCTGAGTCTCCATCTAAGCAGCCTGCAGGACCAGACCTGCTTAGCATTAGCAGGGAACTGTGTCATGTGCCTTGAAATCACTCAGTTAGCAATAAAGAACAGCAACAAAAAAAAGTTTGAGATCTTAAAGGCTGTGAAACAGATGGAACAATAGATGTTGAAATCTCACTTTGTGAACGCTTGAATATTAGTGGACCTCAGACATGGCGGGAGCTGTAGCCAGAAACAGCAATTGAAAAACCCAACAAGGATCTATCTTTCATCTTGAATTAAGGTGGCAGTGCAGAGCCAGGAATGTTTGGATAGCATTGAATGTGCAATTGGCAAAGGGCACAACTGCCAGAAGGCTTGCGTTTTGGGATTCCCCCCCCCTCCCACTTTCTAAAACACTCAGGCTCGAGAGATCATGGGTGACTTTACTGTAGAGATTGGCAGGAAGACAGTTGAGTGCAGCATCCCCCTCTTCTGCATAGAGAAAATGGCATTAAGTAATATAATCTTCCCGTGATAATTTAGAGACATTTTTTAGGGTGGATAATGATGAAAGAAAGAGAGAAAGAAAGCAAAGCAAAGGGGGAAACACCACCCCCCACTTTCCTCAATATCCATTTTGACTACAAATGAGATACAACACAGGTCTTTTCCTTTGCTATAACTCCATGCTTGCATAATGGTGCCTGTGGGATGTTTAAAACTACATCAAGAAACACATTTCGGCACTAATTCAAACAGTTTGAAACACCATCAACACGGCTGATAAGATCCTAGTAACTCCGTACCCAAGTCTGAATGGTTCACCTGCTGCTTGCATTCCTGCCCACCTGACAACTACATCTACTGAGCTGCTGTTCTTCTTCCCTTCTTCTGAAGAAGGTTGGGTTTTTTTTGCAGTAAAGATTGAAGCAGTTCTAGGAAAAGGCCATGGATTGCAAATGAAAGAGAGCATTCTATGATCCCTTAGTAAAATGCAAGGAAATAAAATGAGGAGTTTTGCAGGAAAGCACTACAGCATCAGCCACTCAGAGCTCAGTTTAAGACTCATATAGTATGTTGTTTTGTCTGAGTTAAGAAAAGGAACAGGGTGAAAGGATCTACCTACTGAAAAGCCACTTTGATGAGTAAATAGATCATCAACAGCTGTTCTTTGGGCCATTATTTTTCTTTTAACTGCTACTACAAAACTATCTATTTCAGGGGCATCCCACCTTGGCCACTTTAAGACTTGTGGACTTCAACAGAATTAGAGAAATTCTGACAGTAAAAGTCCGCAAGTGTTGCAAAGTGGCCAAGGTTGGATGTCCCTATTCTACTTGTTCCAATGTTGCTCAGGATTGGCATTTTATAGATTGTTCTCTGAAATGAAATGAAGTCTTGGTCAAAGAGGAACAGTTTTACATTTCTTGGTAATTAAGGATCAATAATCAGTTGAAAAGTTCATATTATAAATGGGAGCCACAAAACCTTCCTGAAAATACACAGACAGCCTCTCTTTCATCAATTCTTATCTATCCATGCTGTGTATTTCATGAACTAGTTCATATGTATAAGGTAGAGATAGACTGTCATGAGGTGTGGGTGTGGGTGTTTGATCCTGAAACTTGAAACATCCTCCTGCAGAAGAATTTGGAGCAGGGATTGTTCTCTTCTATTGATCACTGCTGCATTGGAAATCCCCTGTGTACACTGAAATAATGCTTGCCTTTGGAGACTGAAGCCTGTGGCTTCTTCTCGCGTGACTCCAATGTATCTTGTAGGGCATAAACAAAGCCAAAACCTGAAATGTACTCTAATTTAGGTTGATGAGCTTTGCAGTAGTGAGACACCAAGGTGCCTAAGATTCCTTGTCTTTACCTGTCCTTTCGGGCTGCCTTTGCTGCTTGTACCAATGTAGACATTGCCATTAACTTGTCTCCACAACTTGATTTCAAGGAGGCTTCTCTCTCTCCATTATCCTGGTCTCCTCACTGGTGATACAAATCCCAGAAACTGGGCTGAAGGAGACTTAGTTTCCCAACGTTGCTCCCAATCAATTGCTTTCAAAGGTATTGCTTTGACTTCTATGAAATGAATCCACGTGAACGCATAATTTACCTTTTTCCCAGGAGATGTAGAAAGTCCACAGAAAGTTATTTTTATGGTTTTTTTGGAGCATCATACATGATATTACTTGGAACATTAGACCAGATGTCCCCAAACTTGGCAACTGTAAGACTTGTGGACTTCAACTCCCAGAATTCTCCAGCCAGCATAGCTGGGAGTTGAAGTCCACAAGTCTTAAAGTTGCCAAGTTTGGAGACCTTTGCATTAGACCCTTCTTCCAAGCTGCAATCTTGCCTAGAGAATTGTCTTGCCTGTCACTGTGGCATTTTTAGAGGTTTTTGCAGTGTGCTTTATGTATGGCTCATTTTCTTAATGAAGAAGGATCCTGATCACTGGAACATTACTAGAGCACAAGACCAAACAAAGAATTAATTTTGCAGTTCCTGTGCAGTTTTTTTATTATTATTACTATTTTACTGCTTGTACATACTTTGCTCTGTGGCAAAGGGATTTTCTGATTTATGTAGAACTATGTGTGGTTTTTCAGTGGGTGTATTAATGGCGGTCATGTTTTCTTGAAAGAAGCAGGTAGCTCCCCTCGACAGACAGTTGTAGAAGGGAAGATGGATCTAGATTCTAGGTTAAGGATACTGTTGGTTTGAAAAACTGGCCATAGCCCATAAATACTTCAGGAACATACTAGACGGGTCAGAATCTGGTGGTATATCTCTGCAGGTAGGATGAAAGTCAGCTGATACAGAGAATCTAATGTAATATATAACATGCTAGTTCCTGAAGTGAAGGGATGACAGGATGAAATGATGGGCCACCAAGTATCCTTTTTTAAATAAGAATTTTCTCCAGTTCTAAATGACCACCTTAGAGCAAAATTGTGACTGCATTACGCCACTGTCCCGTCCCGTCCCCCAGTTAAATGGAGGGTTTATAGGGAAAATGGGCTGGAAGGACAGTACAGCATTCGAGGAAGCCAAGTCTTTGTTTTCCTAGCTTAAAACCCTCAGCCCTTAGATATGTGTTCACAGAAGGGTTTTTGGTGGGGCGGTGGGGGGGGGGCAGTTTGATATCAGCTGCAGGCTTGGGCAGGCTCATGTACCTTTCTATGCCTGTTGGAATATAAAAGCTACGGTTTTGTAATGTGGGCATTTGTAGTATAAATAATAGGAAGGATAATGTATTCAATTGATCCCTGTGTAAAACAATGCTGAATGCAAGACAAGGTAAGCTTTCCAATTCATGATATCATGATAGAAAGAGAAATTGTCTCCAAAAATAATCAAGCAATAAGGAAATTATAAATTGGAACAAGCTTGCTTCTCCTTTTCTTTTCAGAAATTTGAAGAGACTTGTTTCTTTTTTTCCCCTTTGAAAATGAATGTGTTTGGACAAGCCGGGTAATGAAAATTGTTCTGCAACTGGAACAGTGACTGTTGTGAACAGGAAGCAGGAAATAATGGGATTCCACTCTGGGAAGCATGGGTGGAAAGCCAGGCACAATCTAGCCCAGGTATTCTTGCCACCGCTTTGACCTCCCTGTCTGAATCTGCTTTTGAGGGAGGTGAGAGCTGAAGACCAAGAAATCAGATGAGTGGGCCCAAACTACAGTTCCATATTTTTGCAACCCAGTTCCATAAAATTCCCATAGTATTATTTGGTCTCTCCCCAGATGCTAATAAGCCTGATGTATTAGGTTTGGCAGTTTGATTCTCACAGGCTCAAGGTAGATTCACCCTTCCATCCTTCCAAGGTGGGTAAAATGAAGACTCAGATTGTTGGGGACAATAGGCTGATTCTGTAAACAGCTTAGAGAGGCCTGTGAAGCGGTATATAAGTCCAAGTGCTAGTGCTATTAGAAGAGACTACTAGCTATTAGAAGAGATGTACTAGCTATTAGATAATACACACACACACACACACACACAGAGAGAGAGAGAGAGAGAGAGAGAGAGAGAGAGAGAGAGAGAGAGAGGAGAGAGAGAGAGATGGACAATTTCCCTATACATTGAAAGTACTTTCTTTTCTGCATTTCATTCTTCTAACTATTAGCCGGTTCACAATGAAAAGCAGAAATTATCATGAGTTTTAAATGGGACAAGAGGAGGAAGAGGAAGATGAGGAGCAGCACTGTGCTCCTCTTAAGAGCTACTGGAGAATGACCAATGTTGCGAAACCCTATAAATCCTGGAAAATGCATTTGGTTCTTCAATACCTGATAGCAGGAAGACTCGCTAGTCCCTCAGACGTTTATTTTATTCAAAAGTTTTATATCTCTCTTTTGTAGAGTTGCTCAAGGCAAAGTGTTCAATGTTCCTCCTTCATATTCTCAGTTTGGCTGAGAGACAGCAGTTCGCAATAAATTTCCAAGTGACTTTTGGTGACCGATAGTGGAGTAGAATCTGGTCTCCCCTGTGCTGTCCCAACACCTTAATCACCAGGCCAGCCTGGCTCTTTTGTGGAGTTGAGATAAGTGAAGTAAGCCCATGGGTAAGACATCAGATGTTCATGCAAGGATCAGGCTGTTTGACAAACACCCATGTAGTAAAACTGCAGTGAGGGTGGTACTTTTGAGCTTTGTGGCAAGAGATTGAATAACGTGATTTATGTTGCTTGCTTGCAGGTTTCCGTGAAAGTGCTTTTGTCTATGCCATTGCAGCTGCAGGAGTGGTGCACGCGGTCTCCAACGCTTGCTCCTTGGGCAAACTGCAAGCCTGTGGCTGCGACCAGAAGCGTCGAGGGGATGAAGAGGCTTTCCGCCTCAAACTTCATCGCCTCCAACTGGAGGCCATGAACCGTGGCAAGGGAATGATGCACGGCGTCCACTTGGAGCACCTGCCAGCCGAGGTCCCTGGCCTACAAGACTCCTGGGAGTGGGGGGGTTGCAGCCCTGACGTGGACTTTGGGGAGAAATTTTCAAAGGAATTCCTCGATTCCCGGGAGAGCCACCGTGACCTCCCATCCCGTATGAGGCTTCACAACAACCGCGTTGGCCGGCAGGTGAGTTTAAAAAAGCATATTTGAGATAACAAGCTTGTCAAAATCCTCCTGATGGCCCCTAAATACTGTCCATTGGACTGTATTTCCCAGAATTCCCAGCTCAGTTATGATGAGAGTGACACAGTCTAAGGTGTTTGGGGGGGAGGGGAAATGGTCTAGGACATTTGGCAACTTGCTGGGGAATTCTGGAAGTTGAGATCCACACATTTTATAGTTGGCAAGTTTGAAAAACACACTGGTCTAATAAGACATCTGGACATCATCTCAATGAGAAGGCTGTCTAAAGGTTTCTGAAAGAGTGAAATAAAAACAGCAGATCATGGTGCTCTGGAGGCAAAAGAAGTTTGTACTGAGTTGATGTGGGTTGTGCACAAGAAATGCAGTGACCAGGATATTATAGATACTGTTTTATATAATTGCATGAAGCTGGCGAAGGAGGCAACCCTTCAGCTTTCAACACAAGCTGATGTTGTTTTAAGGCATACAAGACACATTGTGCTGATTTTTCACCAGCAGTGGCTCCTGTCCTAACCTAATCTCCAGTTCTGGACATTCTTCTTTTCTATCAAATGGAAAGGAACAAGTAATCAAGATCTCACCATTCAAGATTCTATTCCCCAGAAATATTTTGGGAAATGATCTCATCTAAGAAAAAAAGTTGGTGGGAACCTGCAGCATCAACTGGGAGATTGTGGGTGCCAATGAGCCTGCAGAGACTTCTCATGCCATTGTTTATGCTCCACCTGGTTAGCTTTTTCCCCCCAGACTTTTTTAAAATTTGAAAGAAAAAAAAATTGAGTAACTAGCCAGTTTAAAGTAAAGCGGCAGTTGTTAATGTAATCTTCATATCCAAGAGCTGTAGAATCCTGCAATATATTCCAGAGGGTTTTATAGGAGGCTATAACTCAGAGCTCTGTTTGGAAACGTGACTCAGCACCTGGAAAAGGGATAGAAGAAAAAAGTGGTAGAAGGTAGCTTGGGAGCCTAGACGTGTTGATGGGGAACAGCCCTGCTAGTTTGCCTCCTGACAAAAGAGATTTTGTGACTGGCACCATTTCGGGTGAGTGACTATGAGATGATCTCACGATGGCTGTACAAACGTGCCCACCAGCCTAAAAGAGCAGGTAATTGTGTATTAGTATCTAACAACTTTACTCACAGACAAAACAAATCATTTTGTAATTTTAAGCCTGATGACAGGTTTACTTGAGTCTAAGAAGCTCTTGATAAGAGGCTGCTCAACATTGTGATATGGAGCTGGTAATGCCCACTTATTTATTTGAAAATAAATATCTTGCCTACAAACATTTTTTTTCTCCAGCACAGCCTACTAATATTCCAAAATGCATTGTCTAAAAATAGATAATAATTTTTAATTCATTAAAAATAGCAACTATATAGACAATGGTATGGTATATTTCTCAAGGTGTTAAGAATAGGCACTTTACAACATATATTTACTGTGATATACTGTTCCACTGCCCAGAGTACCTACTGATAATAGGCAATGTAAAATTGCTAATGAAATATTGAAAAGTCTGAGACAGTACTTAAAAAATCTGTGCATGGACAAAAATTTCCATCTATCAATTACAAAAGCCACATTGCTTGGATCCGTACATGCCAATTTTATGCCAATAGGGGTACAGTAGTGGTCCCCAATACCCTGTCTGTGGATCAGCACCGGTCTGTAGCATGTCAGAAACAGGGTCGCGTAAACATGAGAAAGTCCACCCATGGGATGCAGGCAGCATGCGAAACCATACCCTCTCTGGTCAGTGGAAAAACCTCTCTCCATGGAACCGGTCCCTGGTGCCAAAAACTTTGGGGGGCATTGCAGTACAACATCCTAGATTCTTGGAAAGAACTCAGTGCACGTGAAGGCTGACAACAGCTAAAGAACCGGTAGCTCTGATTTCACATTGTTGTTTGTAATAATATAATAATCTATATACTCCTAGAACTCACATTCCCATAACCATAATTTTCCCATAATTGGGAAAAACAGTGCTTCATAGAGCAACAATTTTTAAACCGAGATACCTTAAAATGGGCTAGTTACAGAATGGGATCAAAATTGGAGACTATTGACTCCTGTGGAATTGAAATTTGGCGTAAAACATTTTATGACATAGAAATTATCATGACACAGTTCATGACATAATATAATATATCATAATTTTCTGTGCTGATGTTGGGATGTACCATACAGTTCAATATGGGCTATTTTCAAGGCAATGTGAATGTATACAACCTTTTCCAGTGAAGGCAGTACATTAGAAGCTCTGTCATGGTTGAAGGCATTGAGGAATCTGCTAAGAAAATACCAACGTGTCAAGGGTTGTCTAATAATACATTTAAATTTATCAAAGCTGCCCACTGCCATAGACTCTGTTCTTTATAATAGCCTTATGAACACCAAAACAGCTTGTAAATATACAAAGATTGTTCATAATTAACATCTTTGAGATTTTGCAATGTTTGTGATATACATGTACATATATATACAATCAAATTTTAGATATTATGCAGATACAGGTGTGTTTTGTGAATTCTGCACACAAAACCTCATGCCACACTATGTAATTCATTTCAAAATTACCACAAGACTTTAAAATGCCACACTCAGTTGCATTACATATAACTGTTAATTAATGCCCACGTTCATGTAATGATTTTTTAGTTAAAGAAAACTATCATTTGGGGGGAAAGTATTATTCAGTCAAATGCATCATTTGATTGTTTTTTATTGTTTAGCAGTGTTGAAAATGTGGAGGGTATGACTGCAGATAGCTGAGGAAAATTTAAACCTTGTTAATCCTGCACAATTAATAATGACATAGGAAAATGTAATGAGAGTTACAATTATTCACTTATCTGTAACAGGAATGTGGTTTTATGATAGCAAAAGACAAATAAGAAGTTATTTGCTTAGGGGAAATATGGCAATGAAGAGTTTCAATGAAAGCCTGGCAAAAATTGCTCAGTGTCTACTTGATGCATATCTGATGCACTTATTTTTAGCATCCTGCAGCCTGAAAATGGGTGTGGGTGCATAGACTTGTCACTGTCTTAAAAAGAATGGGGAATTCCCCTAAGCCAGAGAAAATGTGTGATAATAGAGAAAGTATCTCAAAAGTGTCACTGGATTAGGTTGCTTGCCTTTGCCTGATCATTTGAAAATATACTGCATTATCCTTCAGAGTATTCCATGACACTAAGTCCAAATTGGAATGCGTTGCATTAAATACAGTGGGCCGGAACAAAGCAAGGAACATCTCAAGCGATTATATAGCCATCAACTTTCCTATTTTAGACAAAATATGAAAAGTTGTCAGTCGGGACAGTGCAGCGTGTGGAAAATATGCTCTACCCCTTTAATATTTCTTCTGTAGTAATTCTGTGATTGAATAAGACAACTTACTTATACCCTTGGATTTCTCAGTAATATTATGAGAAAATTTTGCAAGCCATTTATTATGCCGCAGAAGATTATAGGCTTATCACCGTACAGAAGATAAATAGAAACGCTAGATTAACTCAGTGTATTTTGTTTAAGCTGTATTACTTAAAACATTGAAGAAATGAAGTACAGCCTTCTCCGACATAATGATGCTTTCAGTAGAATTGCTAGCAAGAGGACATCTGTGGTCTCAGAGACGTTGATGTTTCCTCCATATATAATAGTTGCTTGAAGTTTATAGGTACCAGATCTGCATGGCACTTAAACAGGGCGAGGTCCATGCATGTATGCAAAGTCTTGCAGAATGCAAATCCAAGCAATCAGATAAAATTAGGACCTAATATCTAACTTACTTACTTAAAACATCTGAATTTAAGTACCTTTACTGTCATGAAACCACAAAATAGACATATTTGCTGCTATAAATTCCTTTAATGAGGAATTAATGTTTGAAGAGGAATGCCAGTTCTGTGAATGGATCTAGAAGAAAGATGACAACATAATCCTTATACAGAAGAGTTTGATGTAGTTGATGAATATCCATTTTGTTTATTTGTTTATTTAACTGCTTGATAGTTGTTCAAGGCACCGTGGGCTACCTCTGGTTGAAACATTGTGGTGCTGAAGATGCTGAGGGGAGCATTTTAAACACATATTCAGAGACACATCCTTAAATGTTCCCCTCTTCAATGCTACAGTGTTGAAGTTGGCAGGGGAGCATATCTGTTCATAATAGTCTGTATAATAAGCAGACGAATATCTACATAGGCCTTTAGTTGAGACTCCAGTTGATAGAATGCCTGATGGATAGACAGAGTTGATAGAGAGGCAAGTTCTTCAGATTTGAGTATACAGAGGTAGTCCTTGACTTACAACCACAATTGAGCCCAGAATTATGGTCATTAAGTTGTTCTTCTATGAAGAAGGCAGATGATATAGAGTCTTGCAGGCATGCTCTGTGAGGATAGACTAAAGTAACTTGGGATGTTTGGTATAAACAAAAAAATGCTTAGGGGGACATGTGATGACCAGGCTCAGGTACATACAATGAAACTGCAAGGAAGAAGCTCAGGAACATGAATGAGAGCTAATTTGATATTAGCCATAAAGATGCTGGTCTAGAAACCAGAGGACTGAATTCTAGTCCTGCCTTAGGCATGAAAGCTGACTGGGTGACCTTAGATCAGTCCAGTCTAAAGCAAGGCACCCATGCAATCCCAGCTCTCCCCATGGTACTCATGTGGAACATGGGATGCCTCAGCGGGTGGAGGAGGCTTGGGGTGGCTGAATGAATGATTGCAATTTGAGAACTACCTGTAGAAGTGTAGCATCATACCCTGCGATCATTGTAAAATACTTTTGCGATCTTAAAAAAATATACATTACCCGTTTTCTTTGTTTCCTTCTTAGTTTTCATACCACTTGCGTGCAGTTCAAAAGAATGTGAGCCTCTACACAAAGCCCTAAAACTTCCACAACAATACTGATGTGTAGACAAAAGAGCCAAATGGGAGCAAGAGTGGCAGTGCCACATCAG